TGTACAGGCAGCATATAATATATGTGGCGTTTGTGACTGCCTTTCATGTAACATGTTTCAAGGTCCGTCCATGTTGCAGCATGTATCAGCATTTAATTTTTTTTTTTTGAGATGGAGTCTTCCTCTGTTGCCAGGCTGGAGTGCAGTGGCACAATCTCGGCTCACTGCAGCCTCCGCCTCCTGGGTTCAAGGGATTCTTCCGCCTCAGCCTCCCGAGTAGCTGGGACCACAGGCACGTGCCACCATGCCCGGTTAATTTTTGTATTTTTAGTAGAGATGGGGTTTCACCATGGTCAGGATGGTCTCGATCTCTTGACCTCATGATCCGCCCACCTCAGCCTTCTAAAGTGCTGGGATTACAGGCATGAGCCACTGCGCCTGGCAGTATTTCATTCTTGAATAGTATTTCATTGTATGGATACCACATTTTATCTGTTCATTAGTTGATGGGCATCTGGGTTATTTTTACCTTATGGCTATTGTGAGTAATGCTGCTATGGATAGCCCACTTAAAAAACACCACTTTAGGCCAGGCGCGGTGGCTCACGCCTGTAATCCCAGCACTTTGGGAGGCCGAGGCTGGGGGATCACAAGGTCAAGAGATTGAGACCATCCTGGCCAACATGGAAACCCTATCTCTACTAAAAATACAAAAATTAGCTGGGCCTAGTGGCACATGCCTGGAGTCCCAGCTACTAGGGAGGCTAAGGCAGGAAAATCACTTGAACCTGGAAGGCAGAGGTTGCAGTGAGGTGAGATCATGCCACTGCACTCCAGCCTGGGTGACAGAGCAAGACTCTGTCTCAGAAAAAAATTATAATTTTCAAAAGTTATAAATAATGCCTGGCATGTATTAGGACTCACAGAAATCCTTAGGGCAAGGTGGCATTATCCTTATTTATATGAAAAGAAGCAGACTCAGGGCGAAGAGGCTTACTCAGGGTTACACAGTTGCAAGGTAGCTTGCCTCTGGCCATGGGAAGGTTGGTGGATATGGGGATGGAGAATCGCTGTCTGTTTCTCTGTTCCCTGCTGCCAGCAGTGGGTACCAGCCTCTATTGTCCTCTCCCCTCTCTCTCTTGCCAGGTGTCCAGGATGTGGAGGTGCACTTGGAGAACCAGATGGTCTTGGTACACACCACTCTGCCCAGCCAGGAGGTGCAGGCTCTCCTGGAAGGCACGGGGCGGCAGGCGGTACTCAAGGGCATGGGCAGTGGCCAGTTGCGTGAGTGACCACTATGGCTTTGGCCTTGGCCTCTCTGGGAGGGAGGTGGCTCAGAGCTGGTACAAATCTAACCATAGGAGTCTCGGGCTCTGGGTTGCAGTGGCTTTGAGAAAGGTGTGAAAATTATGTGAGACTCCCTGCCCTTCCCGAGCTGCTGAAGAGGTGTGCTGGGTGAGGTGGCAAGGCAGCCCAAGTGTTTTAATACCTTGCAGAGAATCTGGGGGCAGCAGTAGCCATCCTAGGGGAGCCTGGCACCGTGCAGGGGGTGGTGCGCTTCCTACAGCTGACCCCTGAGCGCTGCCTCATCGAGGGAACTATTGACGGCCTGGAGCCTGGGCTGCATGGACTCCATGTCCATCAGTACGGGGACCTCACAAAGAACTGCAACAGGTGAGTGGTCTAAAGTCTCCCCAGTAGCATCCTCAGCTACGCATTTTCACACTTGGCCTTCGTGAATACCCTGTGAGGCACATATACACAGGCACAACCTCCAAATGTGGAAACTGAGCCTCAAAGAGGTTAAATGACTTGCCAAAGGTCCAGAGAAGGTAAAAGGTAGAGTTGGGATTTGAGTCAAGATCTGACCTTGGCTGGGCACAGTGTCTCACGGCTGTAATCCCAGCACTTTAGGAGGCTGAGGCAGGCAGATCACCTGAGGTCAAGAGTTCAAGACCAGCCTGGCGAACATGGTGAAACTGCAACTCTATTAAAAATACAAAAAAAAAGGCCGGGCGCAGTGGCTCAAGCCTGTAATCCCAGCACTTTGGGAGGCCGAGGCAGGTGGATCACGAGGTCAAGAGATCGAGACCATCCTGGTCAACACGGTGAAACCCCGTCTCTACTAAAAATACAAAACATTAGCTGGGCATGGTGGTGCGTGCCTGTAATCCCAGCTACTGAGGAGGTTGAGGCAGGAGAATTGCCTGAACCCAGGAGGCGGAGGTTGCGGTGAGCCGAGATCGCGCCATTGCACTCCAGCCTGGATAACAAGAGTGAAACTCCGTCTCAAAAAAAAAAAAAAGACGGGGTTTCACCATGTTGGTCAGGCTGGTCTTGAACTCCCGACCTCAGATGATCTGCCCGCCTTGGCCTCCAAAGTGCTTAGATTACAGGCGTGAGCCACCATGCCTGGCCCGACTGTGCTATTTTCTTTTCTTTCTTTTTTTTTTGAGATGGAGTTTTGTTCTTATCACCACAGCTGGAGTGTAGTGGCACAATCTCCACTTGCTACAACCTCTACCTCCCTGGTTCAAGCAATTCTCCTGCCTCATCCTCCCGAGTAGCTGGGATTACAGGTGCCCACCACCATACCCAGCTAATTTTTTCTTTTTTTTGGGGGGGGATGGAGTTTCGCTCTTGTTACCCAGGCTGGAGTGTAATGGCGCGATCTCGGCTCACCGCAACCTCCGCCTCCTGGGTTCAGGCAATTCTCCTGCCTCAGCCTCCTGAGTAGCTGGGATTACAGGCACGCACCACCATGCCCAGCTAATTTTTTGTATTTTTAGTAGAGACGGGGTTTCACCATATTGACCAGCATGGTCTCGATCTCTTGACCTCGTGATCCACCCGCCTCGGCCTCCCAAAGTGCTGGGATTACAGGCTTGAGCCACCGCGCCCGGCAGCTCTTGGAATTTTTATTTTTATTTTGTTTTTTGAGACGGAGTCTCTCTTTGTTGCCAGGCTGGAGTGCAGTGGTGCAATCTCAGCTCACTGCAACCTCCGCCTTCTGGGTTCAAGGAATTCTTCTGCCTCAGCCTCCCAAGTAGCTGGGATTACAGGCATGTGCCACAGTGCCTGGCTAATTTTGTATTTTTAGTAGAGACAGGGTTTCTCCATGTTGGTCAGGCTGTTCTCAAACTCCCGACCTCAGATGATCAGCCCGCCTGAGCCTCCCAAGGTGCTGGTATTACAGGCATGAGCCACCATGCCTGGCCTGCACTTGGGATCTTAACAGTGGGATTCTTTTTGGTGGAGTCTTTTCCTCTCACTTTATTATGTTCAGTTTGGAATCGTTTGTTGCCACTTCCTGTGATCAAGGCCCAGGGGATACAATAGATTGCAGCCCCAGTTCCTGACCCAAGGAGCTCACAGTCTGGGGGAGATCACTGAATTCCATGGTTTCTGGGCAGTGAGATAAACCTTGCAGGAGCCTGCAAGAGACCCTGGAGCCGGAGCCCAGAGCGAACACTTCATCTGCCTGAGGGGCAGAGGCAGCGGGAGGAAGTGAAAATACAGAAGTTGAGGGTTTTACCTAAATTGAAAAGGCTGTCCCTGGTGCTATCTAACACCCCTAGTCCTAGAGTTTCATTTTTCAGCAGAGAATCTTTTCCCAGTCTTTAGGGAATTGCGTGTGCCTTAATGATTTTTGCCTTATCTGAGTGCTAGTTGTACTGTTATTTAATTATTTGATTTTTAAATTTTATTTTATTTTTTGAGATGGAGTTTCATTCTTCTTGCCCAGGCTGGAATGCAGTGTCGTGATCCCAGCTCACTGCAACCTCTGCCTCCCTAGTTCAAGTGATTCTCCTGCCTCGGCCTCCCTAGTAGCTGGGACTACAAGTGCACACTACCACACCTGGCTAATTTTTCTATTTTTAGTAGAGACAGGGTTTCACCAGCTTGGCCAGCCAGTCTTGACCACCTGACCTCAAGTGATCTACCTACCTCGGCCTCCCAAAGTGCTGGGATTACAGGAATGAGCCACTGTGCCCGGCTCTGACTGTGCTATTTTCTTTTTTTTTTTTCTTTTAAAGACGGGGTTTCGCCAGGCGCGGTGGCTCAAGCCTGTAATCCCAGCACTTTGGGAGGCCGAGGTGGGTGGATCACAAGGTCAAGAGATCGAGACCATCCTGGTCAACATGGTGAAACCCCGTCTCTACTAAAAATACAAAACATTAGCTGGGCATGGTGGCGCGTACCTGTAATCCCAGCTACTGAGGAGGTTGAGGCAGGAGAATTGCCTGAACCCAGGAGGCGGAGGTTGCGCTGAGCCGAGATCGCGCCATTGCACTCCAGCCTGGATAACAAGAGTGAAACTCCGTCTCAAAAAAAAAAAAAAGACGGGGTTTCACCATGTTGGTCAGGCTGGTCTTGAACTCCCGACCTCAGATGATCTGCCCGCCTTGGCCTCCAAAGTGCTTAGATTACAGGCGTGAGCCACCATGCCTGGCCCGACTGTGCTATTTTCTTTCTTTCTTTTTTTTTTGAGATGGAGTTTTGTTCTTATCACCACAGCTGGAGTGTAGTGGCACAATCTCCACTTGCTACAACCTCTACCTCCCTGGTTCAAGCAATTCTCCTGCCTCATCCTCCCGAGTAGCTGGGATTACAGGTGCCCACCACCATACCCAGCTAATTTTTTCTTTTTTTTGGGGGGGGATGGAGTTTCGCTCTTGTTACCCAGGCTGGAGTGTAATGGCGCGATCTCGGCTCACCGCAACCTCTGCCTCCTGGGTTCAGGCAATTCTCCTGCCTCAGCCTCCTGAGTAGCTGGGATTACAGGCACGCATCACCATGCCCAGATAATGTTTTGTATTTTTAGTAGAGACGGGGTTTCACCATGTTGACCAGGATGGTCTCGATCTCTTGACCTCGTGATCCACCCGCCTCGGCCTCCCAAAGTGCTGGGATTACAGGCTTGAGCCACCGCGCCCGGCCCTAATTTTTTCATTTTTGGTAGAGAAGGGGTTTTGCTATGTTGGTCAGACTGGTCTCAAACTCCTGACTTCAGGTGATCCACCTGCCTTGGCCTCCCAAAGTGCTGGTATTACAGGCATGAGCCACCGCGCCTGGCTGTGACTATGCTATTTTCTATCTTGATGAGTCTGCAGTTTTGTGCCACAAAACAAATGAAACCATGATACGTGTTTCTTAATGCATGTAACTGATTTTTTGGACTTTTGACAGTTCTGTCACTTATCATGTTTTTCCTTTCTTCTCTTTCTTCCTTTTCCTTCCTTCTTTCCTTTTCTTTCTTTTCTTTTTTGAGACAGGGTCTCACTCTGTTGCCCGTGCTGGAGTGCAGTGGTGTGATCATGGCTCACTACAGTCTTGAATTTGTGGATTCAAGCAATTCTCCCACCTCGTCTTCCTGATAGCTGGGACCACAAGCATATACCACCATGTCCAGCTAATTTTTGTTTTTGTTTTTTTTTTTTTTTTATGGTAGAAATAGGGTCTCACTATATTCCTCAGGCTGGTCTCAAACTGCTGGGCGCAAGTGGTCCTCCCACCTTGGCCTCCAAAGTGTTAGGATTACAGGCATGGTCTTGAACTCCTGACCTCAAGTGATCCACCTGCCTTGGCCTCCCAAAGTGTTGGGATTACAGGTGTGAGCCATCACGCTCAGACACTGGTCAAAAGTTTTTTACTCCCTGCCCTGGGAAATTGGAGAGTCATTTCTATAGAGTCCATTGCATAGTGCCATGCTTATGCTCACAGAATTAGTAATCTGCTACTGCAAACCAAATGATTTCCAAAATTAGGAGTTTAAAACAACAAACATTATGGGGTGGGGTGCGGAGAAAAAACATTTACTGTCTCTGGGGTTAGGAATTTGTGTGTGACTTAGCTGGGTGCCTGCAGCTCAGGGTCTCTCTTAGGGCTGTAGTCATCTCAGTGCTCCAGGTGGGGAGAATCTACTTCCAAGTTTTTTCATGTTGCTGTTGGTAGGCCCTGGGTCCTCCCTGGCTGTTGGCCAGAGACATCAGTTCTTTGCCACATGGGTCTCTCCCTAGGGCAGCTCACAACACAGCAGCTGGCTTCCCTCAGAGTGAATGAGCGAGAGAGAGAGAGAAAGGGCATCCAAGACTCAAGCCACATTCTTTTGTAACCTAATCTTAGAAGTGACACTAAGTCCAGCCCACACACAAGGGAGGTGCATCATAGAGGCGATTCACCTCCTGCAGCCTTGAAAGATGACGGGCAGGAAGTAGGCAGGTGGAGAGGCTGAGAGTGGGAACGACAGGCCCAGCAAAAGAAACTGCCCAGGCAAAGCCCTGGAGACATGGATTGGCAGGGAGTGAGTGTTTCTGAAGGGCAGGAGACTGCCTTGTGAGCTGTGTTTTCTTCCTGGGCCCCAGGTGGGGCAGCAAATCAGAAGGGGCTGGCATCAGTAGCTGTACCTCACCCAACCCCTTAATATAGATGGGGAAGAATTGAGCAGGAGCTGAGCGGCCAAGGCCACAGTGACTGGCAAGTTACTGTTGGGTTTCAGCATCTGCTTTTCCCAGATGGAAGATAATCCCATCTGGGAATTTATATCCAAGCTTGGTTGTCCCTTGCACTTCTCCTTTCTTTTTTCTTTTTCTTTTTATTTATTTTTTTTAAGATGGGGTTTCACCATGTTGGTCAGGCGGGTCTTGAACTCCCAACCTCAGGTGATCTGCCCGCCTTGGCCTCCATAGTGCTTGGATTATAAGCGTGAGCCACCACACCCGGCTGCACATCTCCTAACTGATCTCTAAGCTCCCTTCTGTTCTCACCTGGCTCTAGTTCTTCCTTTTCATAGACTGTACTAGAGGATTTTCTTGACGCCTGGAGTAACCAGGCCATGCCCTTACCTGAAGCCTATCTTGGCTCCCAGTGCCTGAGAGTACAAGCTGGGCCTAACTTCTTGGTGTGGATATTCAATGCCCCACCCCCACCCTCGGCCTATTGCCCCTGCCTGTGTGCTGAAGGAAGATCCTGGAAAGGCTGCCTCTCCTTGACCTGCTGCTGGGTCATGCCTCTAGCCACACTGTGCAGGCTGCCCCCTTTGCCCAGTCCCCAAAGCACTCCTCAGGCCAGGCATAGTGGCCCATGCCTGTAATCCCAGCACTTTGGGAGGCCGAGGCAGGTGGATCACTTGAGGTCAGGAGTTCGAGACCAGCCTGGCCAATATGGTAAAACCCTGTCTCTACTAAAAATACAAAAATTAAGCAAGGTGTGATGGCTCACGTGTATAATCCCAGCACTTTGGGAAGCCAAGGTGGGTCAGTCACATGAGGTCAAGAGTTCGAGATCAGCCTGACCAACATGGTAAAACTTTGTCTCTATTAAAAACACAAAAGTGAGCTGGGTGTGATGGCATGCATCTGTAGTCCCAGCTACTCAGGAGGCTGAGACAGGAGAATCGCTTGAACCTTGGAGGTGGAGGTTGCAGTGAGCCCAGATCACGCCACTGAACTCCAGCCTAGGCAACAGAGTAAGATTCTGTTTCAAAAAAATAAAAAATGCAAATACAAAAACTAGCTGGGCATGGTGGAGCGCACACCTGTAATCCCAGCTACTCAGGAGGCTGATGCAGGAGAATTGCTTGAACCCGGGAAGAAGAGGTTGCATGAGCCAAGATTGCACCATTGCACTCCAGCTTGGGCATCGCAGTGAGATTCCATATCAAAACAAAAAAACAAAAAGCCACTCTTCAGGGCTCTGTATCACCTCCCCTTCCTTGATCTTTCTACTATTCAAGTCCCCAACATAGGGTGTAACGAAAAGTACCAGGGGCAGGCAGCAGATGTCTCTCTGGAAAACAAGATAAAGGAGAACTGCCGCTTCTTCCTGCCCTTCAGTTCGTGGCACAGTGAGATGCCTGGTTACTCAGCAGCAAGGTCACGGGAGCCTACCCACATTGGCACAGGCACTTGCTTCTGCCCTAAATGTCAGGTTGAGGACACAGATGCAGGTTTCTATGGCTCACCAGTAAGGCCTTGTCACCCCAAAACACATCAACTGTTGTATTCATCCTGTGTCTCATGACACCTAATTTGTTCTGTATCTGTTCTGGGTCCCTTGAGGATGGTGACCCTGCATACTCCCGCCATTCCTGGTAGAGTGTGCCTGACCTAGGAGGTGCTCATTGGTGTGTTATGACAATTTTTATTACCTTCAAGGGCGAAGGAGGGCAGAGCCAGCTTCTAGGGGCCAGGACAGGCCCTTTGCCCCTTGCGTTTCTTTCTGTTGCTGGAATCTGGGAGTCAGGGAAATGACATAGGCTATAATCATCAGGGAAGCTAAGCTTGGCCAACTTACCCCTATGGGAATTAAAGACAGCCAAGGGCTCACAGATCCATCAGGAAGCTGGAGAACTGGGCTAACTGGAGACTGAGAAGCAGAGCTGGGCAATGGCCTCACGGGAAAAACTGTCTGGTCCAATGGGATGACTGCACAGGCAGGGGAATCTTTCACCAGCTCTTTTCAGCCCGCTGTCAGTCTGCCCAGGATTTCAGTTCCAGGGAGGGAGTGACCACTTTCTACTTCCAGAGAGGGCCAAGGGGACCTTGCCTGCCCAGTCCTTGGAGAGCTCAGATTCTACCAGACTGGTACCCACAGGAGGAAATGGGTATTTTGGGGAAGCAGGAAGAGGCATTGGAATCAAGAAGTCAGAAGACAACAGCTTGGCATCACATGGCACACACCCCCTATACACACACTGGGTCTCATTCCAGCACCGTGGAGACCTGGGCAATGTCCGCGCTGATGCTGATGGCCGTGCCATCTTCAGGATGGAGGATGAACAGCTGAAGGTAGGTGGAAAAGAAGGTGGGCACCCTTCCTAACAGGGTCCATTGTCTGAGGCTGTCGTCTCCCCTGAAAGGTGTGGGATGTGATTGGCCGCAGCCTGATTATTGATGAGGGAGAAGATGACCTGGGCCGCGGAGGCCATCCCTTATCCAAGATCACAGGGAACTCTGGGGAGAGGTGAGTGGTGTCAGCCCCTGTAGGAGGCCATGCTCTGCGGATGGTGCATGAGGAGCCCAGGGGTGGAGGTGTAAACAAGTACCCACTCCTAACCACACATTCTTCTGCAGGTTGGCCTGCGGCATCATCGCACGCTCCGCTGGCCTCTTCCAGAACCCCAAGCAGATCTGCTCCTGCGATGGCCTCACCATTTGGGAGGAGCGAGGCCGGCCTATCGCTGGCAAGGGCCGAAAGGAGTCAGCCCAGATCCCTGCTCACCTTTGAGCAGGGCCTCACCTTGGCTCTGTTGCTGTCGTCCAGGGCAAGCACTTTCTACTTCCAGAGGGGGCCAGAGGGATCTTGCCTGCCTATTCTTTGGAGAGCTCAGTACAAGGCAGGAGCTACTGCTTTTTCCCTTTGCAAATGAAAGTTTTATTTTCATATGGAACTTGGTGTTTTGTGCTTGTTTCCATGTCCCGTATGGGCTTGGTGAACACAACTCTGCCTCTGCTCTTTGCATCAGGGCCAGCCCTTAGCATTGGAGCCAAACAAACCTGAATTCAAATGCATACACACACTGAAGTCCCCATCTTCCTCCTTGGAGCCATCATGAAGAGCCACCACAGTCAAATTTCTGTTTGTGGCCTGCCCTCTCCCCTCACTATGGCTGATTGGAACCAGAATGGAAAATACAAAAATCAGCTGGGTGTGGTGACGGGCACCTGTAATCCCATCTACTCAGGAGGCTGAGACGGTAGAATCTCCACCCGTGAGGCAGAGGTTGCAGTGAGCCGAGATCACACCACTGCACTCTGGCCTGGGCGACAGAGCAAGACTCCATCTCAAAAAAACTATTAACTTAATAAATGAAGTGCTTAGCACAGAGCCTGGCACACAAAGTTAAGGGAGCAGCAGCTGTGGTTCTGAGGCTGCATGGGACACTTGGAGGCAGCCCTAGCAAAGCTCCCCTTTCCTATGGGTGGATGGGCTGCTAACCAGAGAAGAGTTTGTGGGGCCTTGGGTTCAGAGCCTCCCTACTCATCTATTATGTCCCTGTTCCCCACTCCCATGGGGTGGTTTGCTTGTCCTTGATAAAGCTACTTTTATGACAGAGTGAGCTGACAGACTACAAACTTTGCCCCTATGCTGCGTGCTTGGAACCGGGTGGGTGGTTTCACAGTTAGTTGTCCTTGGATTCCAGGCACAGCCCCTGGCTCTGCTCCCATTCCCCAGGCCCTGCCTCTTTTCCCTTTCAAGGCTGTGGGTTCCACCTCTAGCGTCAACCCTTGGACTCTGCTCTTTCTGGCTAAACCTATGCTGGTTGTTTTCCAGCTTGCCATGGTTGCTGGGAGCCAAACCCTTTTTAACCCAGGCTCAGGCTGTCTTTCCCCACTTCCAGGTCATTGCAGAAACTCATCCTGGATTCTGCCCACAGCGAACCCCTAACAACCTCTCATCTCCATTCTGGAATATCTGAGTTTTAACCTTTTTTTTTTTTTCCTTTTTTTTTTTAAATTTATTTATTTATTTTTTAAAGGCTAGTCAAGTGAAGCAGTGGGAGTGGAAAAGGAACAAAGGGTTTTAAGCTTTTTAAGGCTAAACAATTCAGCATAACACCACTCTATTAACCTCTTTTTCTTTTCCTTTTTGTGAGACAGACTTTCACTCTGTTGCCCAGGCTAGAGTGCAGTGGCGCAATCAAGACTGATTGCAGGCTAGAGCGCAGTGGCTCACGCCTGTAATCCCAACACTTTGGGAGGCTGAAGTGGGTGGATCACTTGAGGTCAGGAGTTCAAGACCAGCGTGGCCAACACGGCGAAACTCCATCTCTACTAAAAATACAAAAATTATCCAGGTGTAGTGGCACGTGTCTGTAATCCCAGCAACTTAGGAGGCTGAGGCATGAGAATTGCTTGAACCCAGGAGGCAGACGTTGCAGTGAGCTGAGATCGCACCACTGCACCGCAGCCTGGGTGACAGAGTGAGACTCCCATCTCTTTTTTTAAATTATTTTTTTGGCCGGGCGCAGTGGCTCACGCCTGTAATCCCAGCACTTTGGGAGGCCGAGGTGGGTGGATCACGAGGTCAAGAGATCAAGACCATCCTGGT